AGGCAAAGTTTAGCAAGGCAAACGTAGGATGTCAGTAAGACAGTGATGTCTGTTGGACAACAACCTAGTCTATTTTTTTACCTTAGAATATGCTTTTGCTTCCCTTAATGTAATCTTTTAAACTGTGGGAAGTCTTGGGACGCCACACTATCATTCTTCTTAGAATACATGTATTCTACCCGACATGATTTCTTATTCTACGTGATGGGTGGTCTTAGAGGCTGCAATATACTTTATAATTGACAACACATATTAAAGAGCAAAAGCTTTAGATTTAGGTAGGAAATTGAGGTCAGTATCTATAAATCACCAGACACTTAGCGCTTTGTCCTATATATTAGAAAAAAGTAAATCATTTATGGGCGAATCGTGTAAGGTCAAATTCTTTTATAAAAACAGTGAAATAAGCCTCTATCGATCAATGCTATGAATTGAACTTTGAACCCCTTGAAGTTATGTTACCGCTCATGAGACATTCAATTAGCCCAACGTGACGTTTATGACCTCTCTGTTTACTGATACTTCTCGGTCTGCTATGGAGGCTCAATCTTCTCAAACCCGGAATCCAGATCACCAAAATATTTCCGTCCTGCCCTTTAAATTCCTTCACCAGTACTCAATTATGTCAGAATAGTAGGTCTATCATCCTCAGACTAAATGATTTTCATCCTAGTAATTTAATAATGAAATTTCATCCTCCTGGAGTCTACACTCTCCCCTCTATTGACCAGCCTGATGGTGAGGCTTGAACTGTGCTGATTTTACACTTCCTTTTTAAAGTTTGGCATGGTTTGTTATCGGTGCGCAAGGGTTATTACGCTGGTGGCGTATTTCCTTTCAAGCTGCTAATTCCTGAAGATTTTCCATGTTCTCTACCTCCCGTAAGATTCTTTACTCCCAAATGTGGTGCATAGAGGATTCTTCTGCCTCGTGGCTTTTATCATCCCCACGTGAATCCACATACTGGTGAACTTGATTTGGGCCCAGAATTCGAAAAATGGGTGTCGGGTACTTCACGAATCTTTCATATACTTCACTACCTCCGATGTGTCATGAACGACTTATCAATCGAAGCCGTCTCTGCTAACGACACTCAAAAGTTCGCCAATACAGAAGCCGCACAATTGTAGGGGTGGTTTTTATTGGCATTTTGTGTGTTTAAAGGTTGGTGTCGGAACCCGAGATATTTGGAGTCCGCGCCAGGACCTATGTAGAGGAAAATTCTCTTTGGTCGTCTACAGACTGCGTATTGAGGAATGAATTCTCGAGTCCATTGAGGTCTGTTGCCAGTCGTTGCATACTTATTAAATCTTTTGTTTTCTTCTCACAGTGTTTTGGGATGGCAGAACGACTCCTTCATTTCAAAGATTCGGGATAAGATCATAAACTCGTCTCAAGTATGTAAAGTTCAAAAATAAGTTGTTTGATTGTATTACGAAACCTGAAATTTAAATTTTGTCGCTGCTGATGTTTCACATCTAATGATCTGAATTTTATGTGTATTAGTTGGTAACTGCCATATGCTCGTGGTTGCTGTTTGGGTACTCTGCTAAACCTACACGTATTACAACCGATTTCACATCGTTTCGTCCATTTTTTGTGCATAAAATGAAGTTGCATTACCTAACAGGCTACCTGTGACTGTTAAATATTAACTACCCGTCACTTTCTTTGATGATCAACTACTTTAGTACAGAAATAATCCAATGTCGTGCTGGTTATTCGTGCGTAGATAGCTTGAGTTTGATGGATCCCATCTCCTTGGTCCAAGTTTAAATCAGAGCTCAAAGTTATCGGTTGCCTGCGGAGCTATGGCTTGACCACAACCTCTCCTTGCCAATGTCTCAAACTCTCTGCCCCGGTCTGTAGGTGATCACAATTTGTAACCCAGTTCACCTAAAGCACCATTTCTTTGTATGATGGTGGAACGAGCTGAATACACGCTAAAATCTGCAAGCACTGTACAGTAGTGAGTGGACAGTTGAATAGTCCTGGTTACTTTCCTCACATCAGCTTAGTAGGATCGTAGGATTTCTTTTTTATCGCAAGGCAAAATAAGTCATGTTTATTATCCACGGTGTATCTTTGCATTTAGAGGAACTTGTATTTCCATTTTTGCCTTTTACGCAGCCTTTCAAGAATTGCCCCTGCTGCAGTGACGCTGGTTCGCGAGGCTACTCTTGGATCGACCCGTCAAAAATGACCCTTTTTTCGCCTAGTCTCCTCTGCGGTGAGAAATCGGAATAACTATCGTCGATTCGTTTTTACTTGACTTCACTTTTGCCTTTACTCTCTCCATTCACTTGGCCATGAATATACGGGCGCAGATTGTTGACTTGTTGTTTTCTGCTTGGTAGACCAAGGATGAAGTGTGATGAATAGAAAGAAATTGAGCCAACCAAGCTGATCTTGAGCGCCATCTGGTGTAAACTTATGTCCTCGCGAGTGAATTAGGCTTCTTTAGGTCACATTTGCATGGGTTATTACGCAACTTGGCTACAGGATGTGGTTGTGAAAAAAATAGTGTTAACGTTTGCGATCATCAATAACAATTGTATCCAATTCCTTCATTAGTGCTTAGGAGGTTGTGCTTTCGCATGATTTTTTACATGAAGATACAGACCTCTCTTCTCCCCATCGGACGTGAGCGGACTATTAGTCGAAAGTAAACGCAGATGTGGAGACCCAGAAGCAATTTGGGATCCTCGACCATTAAGTCTCTTGGCCATTTGGACTTCATTCAAACGGTTTGTCACCAATCACGAGAGGAAGATTTTTTGTGTGTAAGGGAAGACGAATTGTGTAAGCGAGTGTCTGGCTCTTAGGAACGGCCATCCAGGCCTGAGTTGGGACAAAAATCTTGTTCTTTAAAAGGAGAAATCTAATGTGTTTCATGGGGGTAGATCGATTTTAAAAGGCACAGGTGTTTCACACACAATCATTGCGACCGGTGATAGAGTAGTCTCCTCTATAACTTTAAAAGGAACAGTCACGACGCACCAGCAAGGAAACCCTGTACTGTGAAACCACCCTCAGAATTCGTATGATTATAATTGCCCTCTATTGACTGCTAGACAGCGTTGATTGAAAGCAAATATGACCAAAGCTGACCTGCTCAGAGGCTCTGTTTCCTGTAGGGACAATTGTTAGTCAAATCCAACTTCGTGTTTAGCCTGACCATAAAAAATAGTTTGCAAAACGGGACAGCAATTGTCTCAAAGGATTGGAAGTGCATAAAGCTAGTGCTCTCTGGTGAGTTGCCTCTGCCTTATGTTTGTACTAGATTGGAGGCGATTACAGTAGTTAGTCACACGCGATTGCTGTCAGCCTTTCCTATGCAGTCGCTCTTCCCTCACCCTCCTCCCAGTTAATAGCTTTGGCATTGCGGCACCTCCTTTGCTGTGTTTACAACAGCCGTTCTACGTATGAATGCTCGGATTGTAGCCTAAGTGAACTAGTCCTCACAAGTACATGATGAGAATGATTTTGCGAAGATGCTCAAATGACGAGTCGGCAGCCTCGAACCTCTCCACCTCACCTTTGATAAAAGCAGCCACCTCGCTGGTGCACTCCCTTCGCCTCCAGGTGAACCCTTGAGAAGAGTAAAAGTCGATCATGACCTGCGTTCGCAAACGTTTCCCTCATCATCCCAAGAGCTTAACCGAATGGGGAGGTTTACACAAGTCAAGGGATGTATAATAACGCATCCACATTTGCACGTATCCGTACACTTGTAGCAACCGAAAAATAAGAACAGGAGTTTATCAATTTGCCCTAAACAGAATAATAATAACAATGGGTATGAAGAGGAACTCAGTTTGTACAAATAAAATGTTTTGGTGAATGTGTACATATGAAAGACCACCATAACCGCAAACTTGTGTGTGCTTTACCATCGTCTGTTTCACCGAAGAAGGCAATTGACGAGGAGGAGGTGGAGGAAAGCAAGATAAATGAGAAGAACAAGGAAGAGCATCACACGAGGGCCCCGCGATCCTACTAACCGATAGTCAATTACTTTGACAACGCGCACATTCACCGCGCTCCACATGCGACCTAGGAAACAGACGTAAAAATGAGGTAAATGCTAAGGCTACTGAGATACTTCTAAAAGGACGGGAGTTATCCATTCATCTGTACGCTGAAAACCGGTGAAGGTATGAATCAATCACACTCGAGGTCTCCATAAGTGACACCGCTAGGTGAATCGGAAAATTACGCGTTTTTTCACTTTAGATTGCTGACAATGAAATCAGCAAGCAGAACCTTCTGTCGCACAATGATTACTGAACAGGCGTGTAGAGCAAAAGCACAAACCAAAGCACTGGTTGTGACATGAAAGAAACATTATCAACCTCAACCATGATCTAGAACGGATGCTTAAGTGTCAATTAAGGGATGAATGCGATTTTCGTCAGCGGATGTGAAGTTCGAGGAAGGACCACAATATTGAACACATTTAGACACTCACTAAACTTCGTGACTAGCCGTCTGTTGAAGAAATTCGCAGCCCCGGTTACGTAAGGCAGCACAGCTTTCCTGCACTGGAATGAAGTCTGACGCAGCACAGTTCGTGGAGGACTTGTTGTTAACCTTCCGAGGTCGCTAGAAGTTAGAAAAATGATAGCTGAAGTGAATCTAGTAGGCAAGAAGGAGAGAAAGGACGACGGTAGGAAATGACTTACCCTTGCAGTTTGAGTACACAAGGCTGAGGCTTCTGGTAGTGAGAAAGCTCAGCCTGACATTTTCGTAGCTCCTTCGTCCTCTCAAACAATGCAGCCTCCAATTGAATCACCTGGTCATCTAATCCATCAAGAGTGGCTTTGAGATGGGCCTTCTCCACAGTAGCAGTAGTCAGACGCTCCCTTAGTTGGAGAAATTCGTCATTACTCGCTCTCAACTGATCTGCGGAGGAATCAACTTCGGCTTCTAATAGACGCAGACGCTCTAAAAGGCGAGAGACGTCAACTGAACGGTCTGTAGAAGGAGCAGAAGTGGGTGAAGGTGAGTTACACCCTTGCTGAAGTTCCACCGTCTCGCCCAATTGTTTTTCGAAATAGGTGCCGGGAAAATCGTTGATTTGACCGCCCGACTCAAGGAGATCGAAGAGACTTGCGTCTTCTACCATATGTTCTGGAGAACTTCCTGAAAAGGAAGAGGAAATCTACAAAAAACGTGTTTGAGTAACCGAAGCGATGGAATGGGAAAACAACAGACTCACCGCCAACGCATTCGGTTTGTGTTGCAGCCTCACATGCTTCAACACATCTTTCACAAGAAGCGGGAATAACGTCGAGTTGAGGATTTTTTTCACCGACACCTCGCTTTGCCTGCAACACATCAACCAACTGCTGCAACCGCCGACAGTTGATACAACTGTCTTCTATCTCGCTTTCACGGACAGAGGAGGCAGAACTAGAAAAGACGGTGTTACCGGAGCGAGAGAGCTGAAGCCGAAGCGACCGATTCTCTGCTGCTGCGTCTGCTAACTGCACCGCCCACTGGGCCGCCTCCTGTTCTGCTCCGCGCCGCTGGCGTGCCATTTCACCCTCCAGCCGCTCCACCGCGATTCGTAGCGCTGACACCTCTAAATTTCGCTGCTCGCATAGAGTACAACCTTCACTCGGCTCTCCCTTGTCTGTGGCAATAATGAATAGTGTCGTGCGGTAATTTCAAGCATTAAAATTATCAAAAAAGAAAGTTACCTTGAGTAATAGGAGCGGGACAGTTGGGGGAGCGTTGTGAAGCGGTTTGAAGAGCTGCAAGGGCTTCTGCTAGTTGTTGGCGAAGCTCCCGAGCCTCTTGCAAGGATCTGAGCTTCTCTGCCTCCCAACGAGTTCGGTGATGGCGGAGATTATCAACAGAAGCATCCAGCTCTGCGCTAAGCGCATCGGCCTGGCGCTGAAGCTGTAGGTATTGAGCGGTTTGTGTGCGACGCTGCTCCAGAAGACGTGCGTTTCGAGCGAGAGCGGTGGAGAGAGCGACTTTGAGTTCAGACAAGGTATGAGTAGTGGATGCTTGAGATAAGAGAGTTTCCGGTAGAGCTAGTTGCTCCTTTGATTGCTAAAATTATAAGGAAGGTACCAGAGACCGGCTAGGCTTCTAATACGTTTCGAAAGTATCATTTCGTTCGATTCCAGAATCATTACAATGGAGTAAAATTTGCCAACGCTGCATATTCAACAGCACAGATTCTTCAGCCTTCGAGGAGAAACATGTCTAAATGATTTTCCTTATCTTCAGGAATGACTCAAATCTCTGCAATCATGGTAACTTGACTGACTGAATAGTAAGGCTGTGTCACAGTAGGTGTTCTAAAAGTTATAGCAGAGCTGCGCAAATAGAGGAGAAATACGCAACTAAGCTCACATTCATACCAGCATCGGTTGCCGTGAGCAAGTCGCAAACGTTTTTTTTTTTTTAAATGATGTCTTGAAACGCTGCAGTACTTATTAGCCTTCAGGCGGACTTCCAGCTCCTTCGTGCGGTATCGCGAGAATGTGAACACTTCGAAAGTGAGAAGAATGTTTAGCTTTTAATCTGGTTGTCCAGTTCTGTTTCAAGATGCAAAATTCACATCTCCACCAGTGTAAGTGCAAGTGTGAATCTACCTCCCCTGCGTCTGTGTCTGTTTCCACTTTCATTGCCCTCCAGTTCCTAACTTTACAATAAAAGATTCGAATGCCAAAATTGCAGTTATCGATTCCAGAGCAAAAAAATGCGGGGAATGAAACGATAACTTCCCGTCCTAAAATGCAAATCCTTAGATGGTTAATTGGTTAACTATGACTATGTAAAATTTTCCTACTCAGTTTTGAAGTGCATGACATCGCATAGATGGACTTAGCTTGCGATTGTATATTCTTAAACAACTGAACGATTTCTTGTAAGAATGTACATACAAAGAAAGCTTAGATTCGCGTGAATAAAGTCGTAGATTCTTCACAAGTGCGCATTCGTTTAAGATCATAAGCGACGAGTCTGATCATTAGGCCATCATTGGGAAGGAGAATAAATGCTCTTTTGGGTTTTCTTAGCGCATAAAATTGAGTCTCTTTTGGATCTACTACCTGCCATCTGTCGCTTCGATTCCGTGAATTCTCCATTTGGTGTGGGCGTTAAAGATTACAGTGGCAAAAACTTCGCAAGTTAATCACGAATAAGCAAATCCCCTTGTGTTGCTCGTATTTCTCATTGGCAAGAGTGAAGAACCGACCCAAGATTATTGACACCATTTGGGTGATAACTTCCACAAACATACCCATTCCAAATGTCAGGTTCAACCAATACTCCGCGGTATCATGCAACAAGACCGCGTCGGCAAACAGGTAAACAATTGTGCCCTTTTTACAAGTTCCTGCGCATCACATTTTCAGTTCATCAGGTTACAAAGAAAGCCAAACGAGCAGATTTTCGGGTCACTTAGTACATTACACGACCTCAACAATTAAAACAAGGAAGTAACTCTCTTGAACGCGTACAATCTAACCTGTTTTACATCCAATTTTGCAAGGCTAGGCGTGGACTAAAATTACTTATAGTTTAAACACAATAGCAGAGGAATTTGGAATCAGTGAAACGTTGAGCCTGCTCATTAAATCTCCAAAAGCAGTTGCGGTACGAATAAAGATCAAAGATACAAAAGCTAGGATGCCTTGAAGAATGCTACACGTGGTAAATGACTGTGGTTGATTATAGCAATAACAACCAAGTACTCCAATTCGCCCAAAGATGACAAGCAAAAAAGTCACATAACTTTTAAGAGCAGTCAGGGTGGTAGATGTTTTGTGCGGATATGAAAGCCAACTGGAGGCAAGAGGCGTTTAACAAGTAAATAGATCGGCCATGTAAGACGGTCCAACATCTGGAACAAGTATTAATAACAAGGCACCACCGAAAAAACCGAAACAAAACTTCGATCAATATCCGCCTTGTCAAAGTGCATATAAGCGATTCCAATTCAAAACTATTTCAGCAATTCTGATTCCTTTGAGCAGTGAATCTATTATAGAACACCGGAGAGGTGCTTCATAGTTCTTTTTTCTGAATTGCCAACCAATCACTTTCGACCCTATCTGTACCATTTTAAGAGCGAAAATGACAAGAGGATGGATCAAAGGACAAGGAATACCTCAAGGAATGTTAGACCAGTGAATTAGAAAGCTATTAGATTTAGATCTAATGCTTCAACTAAAGCGCCGGATTGCCCAAACCTGCGACATTGCACATAAATGACAAGCTTATTGGGAGGCTATGACAACGGTGCGCCGAATTGTGTCAAAACACATTCGTTGCATCAAGATCCAATGAATGTTGGTGGCCTCTCTGCACTCCATATGTCGGCAATGAAAGTACCAACACACTAATAACTGGATTAAAATTGAACTCAATGCCTAATAACTATGAAGCGTACAAACGAAAATCGACTAATAGTCAGGTTTAAACAACTACCCAAACTCAATAAATGCCCATGTGAATAGCCTAAATACATGGAGAGAGGTACTAAGATAACACAGGGGGCAACTGCCTAAATAAATTAACATCAGAAAACGTCTACATAAGACAATGAGGTAGACGCTGAAAGCTCACAGAAATTCTATGAAATGAATAATTCAAAAAGCCAACCGAAGTACTATCTCTGGGGAATAAAAGTAATGTTCGATAAGGAATTAAGTGAATTTTGGCTCCGGGTAAACCCAAGGTTACTCGATTTTGGCTGCCAGACTGATAACATTAGACATTGCCGCACTGCCTGATAAATAAATGATCGCCTGCATAAAAGGTTCAAAACAGATTAACAACACCGCGAATAAAGATTAAACCCTATTTCCATTGTACATTCAGCTCTCTATTCCTACGAAAACCCATCCATGACTTCAGTTCTTAGCCCTTTATTTGGAGCAAAATACTAAGACCTCAAATTCTGAATTGATTTGGGGCAGCATCAGTAATCAATACACTACAAAGATTAGACATACATTTTTTACTTGAGCCTGTGTAAAACGGTAGCAAGAAGTCACTTTTGAAAGGATTTACCTGGAGAAAGGCCTCACGAGACATTCGGTTATTCGCGGATGGAGACTCCATCAACCCTACAACCCCGCCTTCTTTTTTTACCGTCCCTAGATCGTCCTCTGCTGCTTCTTCTTCTTCTTCATACACTTTCATTAGTGCGAACCTTGGAGTCTCAGACTTCATTACTCCGGAGGCGACGGTTGTGACTGCGGTGGTGAGAGGGACTTTGTTAGTATGCATATTCCTCCTATGTAACATCCTCATGTTGTTACGGAAAAGGCGGGTGGACTGAGCAGCTCCCTCTGCTATCAAGGTGGCCTCATTTTTCTCGAAATTTCTGGCAGGGCAGTAAGATGTGGGGATGTGTTTCTTATAACTGCAATCGTAGATGTCTGTGCTGCTGAGTCGCTGGGAAGGTGAAATGAGGATGGCCGAATCACTGCTCTCCATGGAAATGAACTGGACAACAGGGATTTCGAAAGTCAAATTAACTCTTACGACAAATATGCCCAGCAAAATCCAATTTGAAGGTATGATTATTTGCACCGAATAATGTTGAATAAGAGAATCCGGCGAAAAGTAGGAGCTAAAATAACAATGAACGTCTTGTAAAATTGATGACTAGAGAGGAGTTGTAGAGAAAAGATGGGCCTTGAAACGATACTGTATAAAGGAGACTAGAAACGAAGTGCAAACACGTAATGACAGCTCAACAAAGCTTGTATATCAAAAATTCAATGACGCAAAAACTGGGTTAAAGGGATATCCATCGTATTACATATGATTAAACACCAATTTCGTCGAGAAAGTTCATCTGAACTCACCGCTAGCAACATGCCAAATAAGGGAACCAATAAGGCCAAGCTAGCATAAAATTCCCATTACATTTTTGGACCAAAAAACACCCGAAAAAACACGTGACATAGCAGAGGAATTACCTACAAATGAGAGCTTCTAACGACGGAAGCGGAGCAACAACTGGCGACGCATAAGGAATACTGAAGGCTATACTGCATATCATAGGCGAAATATACACAACACCAGGTCTAACAAACGGGAAAAATTACAACAATTGGAGAAAAATTACCTAAATTCGGAAGTAACACTAAACTCATTTAATAGAGAATTGTATTTAGCAAAAGCTGAAATAAAATTCTTTAAGCCAGAATACGTAGTAGAAATACATACTAACTTTGGTGAAAGCGACGCGTAAAAGTTGAAGCCCAAAATCCAATGCCACGACTTTAAGGGGCAGCAAATACTCACGAACCAATTTGTCCTGTTGGAAGACCAATCAACTTATGTAGTTTTTACAAAAGATTCCAGCAAACAAAATAAACAGCGTCTTGCCTTCACTTAGAGCAACCTTTGCTTACGCTAACACAAACAACAGGTAAACCAATGGTTCCAGCAACACCTTAGAACGGAACCTTTTAAGTCCTACGCTCTATAGTTTACCTCACTTACTGTGACATAATTGCGATTATTGTTGTTTCTATCTGAAATTCACAACCAAGTGAGCAATTTTTAAGGCAGAAATACATAAACAGTTGTTACATAAGAATTACAGTAACCCGGTTATTAATTAAATGGTTGAATTTCTCTAGACGGCCCAATTTTTCAGTCCGTGATAGTTCTAGTTGGTGTTTGACTGTGGTGGAGTCATCTTCGTTTTCGCTTACTGTTGTCTTCCAGGATGAAGCGCGGAAATGGCTTCGCCGACGACGGACCACCCAGCAAATACCGTCGCAGTGACGATCCAAGCAAGCTGCTCCGCGTTCTCATACCAAGTCGAGCGGCCGGGCCCATAATAGGCAAGGGCGGCGAGACTATTAAAGATCTTCGGGCTCAGGTATTGTACCACACTCATTATCTCTTTTTGTTTTCTACACGTCACGCCGTGCCTCGATCTAAAGGGTTATTTTATTTTTATCCATTTTATGAACGTGAACTCACCTGTCACCAATTGTCGAACGTGTCCAACTGTCACCGTTGATGATTATCCACTGATTTCGAATCCCACGGCTCATCTCCGTCTCATGTCACGCCATGTTTGTCACTCAAAATGTCCATGCCACCCGTGTTCTCATGGTATTCACCTGTGGTATTCACTTGCTAACATCTATATTGTGTGTGTCCGCGCGCGTGTATTCTCACTGCAGTATTCTGTTCGTCTTCACATTCCTGATAGCAGGGGCCCAGAACGGTACAGTGTGACTAACTAAGTTTCCTTATGACCACTTTTGTCTGCTAAGTGCTATATTCTTTTTTTCAGGGTTTTCAATATGGAGGGTGATAGACCAAACATATGCGGCTGCCTTAGGGAGTTAACCGATGTCCTGATGGTGAGCTTGATCGCGTATTTATGGCTGAACTTTTCTATCAGGATGTTTTGTCTGCAAAGAATGCTGATCAGCGTTTACTGGAAGGGCGAAAAGACGACGAAGGAAATGATCTCGATCCTGCCAAGCTTCTGGATCTCCGCATTCTTATTCATCATAGTCAAGTTGGATCAGTGATTGGTAAGAGTGGAGACAAGATAAAAGAGCTACGCGAAAAGCATCGAATGCAAATAATTAAGATATACCAGGAGTTTGCTCCTCGTTCAACGGATCGTGTACTCCAGCTGATCGGTGAACCGCAAAATGTCTTCGCATGCGTAGAAGACATCATGGAGACATTGGAGGTACGATTTGGCTTGTATCATAGGCTTTTGAAATTGTAGTCGGCACCTCCTCGTGGTCACCGCAGCGACTATGATGCAAATAACTTCGATGCGGACTCAATGCCCGCCTATGACCGGTACATGGGACCTCCACCGCCACCTCCGCCGCCCTATGGCTACGATGGTCCCTATTCGGGAGGTGGACCAGCTCCGCCACCCCCGCCACCATACGGTGTTTATGATGATCGTGCATACTATGACCGCGGGTACGCGAGACGCGGTCCACCACCTCCGTCTAGCGGTTACAGACGTAAGCTACTATCGACATCTTACCGATTAATGTGCTATGGTTTTATGTTAAGGGTTTTAATTTGGTTCTTTCGTTCACCTGTAGGCTAAGGGTTGCATTTTCCTCTACGCATATGACACCGTACGAAAGCAGCTGTGGAGACATGCGAATATAGTCCATGCGATCATGCTTGTGCGTGTGTGTAATTTTTTTTCCCCAATCTTTTCTAATAAACCATCAATATTTGCGTACCAGCTGCGAAGACTTGTAACTGCTTTGTCTCTTGTGCGAATAGGGCCTAACAAAGGTGTGGTTCGAGGATTTTTAAACTGTAAGCAGTCGCCCACAACGACCTCTATCACAAATATTATCGAGCAGGCATTTCCTACAGGAGTGTTGAAAGCTGAAATACTGCACTGAATCCCAGGCGGCATGGTCTGTCCCAGCTTGTTTCATCACCTCATGCTAAGAACGACAGGTTACAGTGAGATCCATTTTGGGTTGGTGAAGTTGGCTGTACCTCTGGGGCGTGTGTGTTCGAGTTTCCAATGCCCTGATCGAGTGGACCACAGAAAGTGTGAGTGTGTTGCGTCACGCGGTGGTGGTGGTGCTGTAGTTCTCTGAGTCTCAGTCGCCTGGGTAGTCAAGGGCCTCTCGAAGGTGGGACAGTGTGATGTGGGTGGTATTGGAAGTGGTGGGAGTTGAGGTGTTTTGGCGATTTGAGGTGTTCGTACGGTGACTGACGGAGGTGGAAGATGTGCGCAGTGCTGCGGATAGAGAGGCGGTGTTCTGGAGCACTACCTCATAGTTGTGAGGAGGAGGAGGATGAGGATTGTGGGACCGCGTTTTGTCACCAGTCATGGATGCAACACAAAGTGGGTGAGTGTGAGCATGCATAGAGGTGTTTGTCAGAGGTGGGATCGAAGTGAGAGTTGGATGCCAGTGGAATTGGGAGAGTTGGAGTAATGAGGTGAGACAAATCGAAGTGAGGGAAGGGGAGGTTCTGATGCGGTGTGGCTTTTACCTACGTGGATGTCTGCAGACTGGCGGGAGAGGTTTGCTGACAGAAGTCGAAGTAATGGCGTTGAAGGAGTCGGAGGTACTATGTAGGATGTGTGTGTGAAGGATTGCTTACAAGTAAGTGGGTGTCTGTGTTTGGTCATGCTGGTGCCTTCCTCATAGTAATCCAACTCGTAACGCGCGTATGCGTGACGCTTTGGTTGAAAACTAGTCCTACTGAAGTGCAAGGTCCGAAGTTTAGGCGGGAGAAAGGAGAAGGCAGGTGTGCTGCGAACACTATCTCGATGTGGGGAACAGAGTCACTCGTAATGAAGGCGGTAGGGGAAGTGAGTGGAAGCTTGAATATCCACTGTGCTAGTCGTACACAATGTAAGCGTCGAGGAAGCAGTAAAATGGTGGTGTGGTAGGTGAGTAGCGGGAGCTGAAGGAGAGTTCTGAGCACAATTTTGTTGCATTTACAGGACGAACAGCTGTGGTTGTTTTTGGTATTTGTAAAAGAATAAGTAGTGTAATGAACCCCTGAATTGACAATAATATTCTGGCACATATGGCTTCCCTTGTAGGTGAGAAGCGGGACTTCATTTCCGACCGCCTTCTAGAGAAGCTGAAGAGGACTCTTAAGGGCCACGCTGATACGGTCATTCTCTTTTGTTTTACCGTCTGACATAGTTACTTTTACGATGGAATTGTAATGCAAGCCTCCCTTATTCTACATCTAGCTCCCTGAGCCATTGAGTATAAAAATACTAAAGTTGAGCATCTGACACAAAACTTTTGATTCGGAAGCATTGCTTTGGGGCACCGTCTTCTCTCCACGAGTGACAGTCACTTTAACGTCAATCTTGCTTCTGGCGTGTAAGCTAGTTTTCATGTCACGCGAGTGCCCCACCTTTACTCTTTTTTTGTGTATGCAAGTAACCATCCAAGCCCTCTGCCTTTTGTCGTCAAATAGGTAATATACTGTCCCTAGGCTGGTGCGCCGGCTTAATGCTAATCAAATGGCTGCCACTAACTTTCCTGCTCGATGTTTTGAAACCAAAATTCGAGATATTTAAAATTTTTACGAAACATATGACCTTTTCTAATTAGTTTAAAATTTTAAAGCTAAAGCTGTTATCTAAAGCTGCAAGGTTACAACGGTAAACTTTTTGTTTATGTGAACAGGTTCTGTGTGCTCTTTGACCTAGTTGCTTGCATAAAGGTGTGCTATCTGGTTTCGTTGCATTTTCCACAGCTTGGAGGATGAGTGTGAATGATTATGCGATTCTAAACAGCGGTTATAAAATTCCTCGGCTTGGCTTTGGAACCTTTGAAGTAAAAGGATGAACTTCGTTCATTACACTTCCATTGTAGGCTGCCCCAGATATCGTTGCGGGTGCGGTCGACGTGGCTCTTAGTACCGGGTATCGCCACATCGATTGTGCTATGAGCTACGGCAATGAGAAGGAAGTCGGTGAAGCAATTAAGACATCATTAAAGAAATATAACTTAAAACGTGAAGAAATTTTCATCACTTCAAAGGTACTCCGACATAATTGAAATATGCTATTTCACGTGAGTAGCTTTGGTGTAACAGTCACGCACCTGACGAAGTCTACAAAGCTTGTGAGGTCTCGGTTAAAAGTCTTGGCCTTCAATATTTGGATCTTTATTTGATACACTTTCCTGGGGCCATCAAATACAAGGAAGGTGTTCCATTTGATATTCACGATCCAAATACTTTTACTTTTGAAAATCATAAGATCGAAGATACTTGGAAGGTGGCGTTTTGGAAGTAATAATAGGCTTACGTCCTAGGCCATGGAGGGATTGGTGTCAGCTGGACTCGTCAAGTCAATTGGTGTATCTAACTTTAACAAAAGGCAAATCGAACGCGTACTGTCGATATGTACGATTCCGCCTGCAGTCAATCAAGTTGAAGTAAATATTCACTTCCCAAACACTAAGCTGATGGAATTTTGTCACTCCAAGAATATTCAGATTGAGGGTTATGCACCCCTCGGCTCTCCTGCTTACCTTCATAGGCTCACGTATGTCGGCTCTGGTGGTTTATTTGTCTGTTTATCCTTCCTGTAGAGGTAAGACAAAGTCTCTGATGGAGGATGAGAATGTTGTCGAAATTGCGCACAAACACAACAGGACGCCTGCGCAAGTGCTACTACGCCATGGACTCCAAAGGGGCGTTATTGTCCTTGTGGGATGTGTCAATTCAGAGTTCATCAAGTCTGATTTTAATGTAAGTTACGGGTAAGCAAAGTCTGGAAAGGTGATTTTACTGCAAGTTTACATATACATATCATGGCGTCCGCTTCTGATTTTCAGGTGTTCGACTTTGAGCTAACTGACATGGAAATGGCGAAGCTTAACAAGACTGCTTCAGAGGGGCGCCTTATTCAATGGCCTGGGTGAGTCATGTCTATCCTGATTTGTACGATGTTTTGTTGACGCTATCATTACGCTCTGGTAACTCGGTTTCGTTGTGCATTCACGCTTTGGGTTGATCTGTGGTCGTATTTCCATCTCTATGTCTTTTTCTCTTCCAGAGTTGTAAAACATCCAGAATATCCATTCCATGATGAATACTAGTTTCCATATTGCTGCCTTCTCTCGCACTGACGTTCGTGATTTTGTTAGTGTTTGCCGCCTTTCTTCTGCCTTCCTAGTCATCAATAAATGAACAGTAGTTCTGCAGATGGCGTGATTTTAAAGGGACTCGGATGGACTATGCAGTGGGAAGCCCTTATTTTGGAACCAGTTGGTAGATTGTGTGGATCTCAAATGAAGCTTTATTGGGAAGATGAATAGGAAGGAAAGTCATTGGCGAGTTTTGGCGATGCTCTGCATGCCAGATGACGGTATTTTTAACTTGTTGAATTTCTTACCTTTTATTGAGCTGTTTATTGATGAGTGGGAGGACCAAAATAGAGGAAGCTGTGCTACCTCTAGAACAGGAACTTTTAAGTGTGGGAGGTAGTAGTTTTAGATTAAGGGAACACTGGCTTAGACACGTTCTCGCCTCATTATCATCATCTATCAAGTAAATCCAGATTTTTATTGTGTCAGAATGACTGGTCGACACTGAGTTTGGTGGTATCCTGGTTTGTGAGCGAAGTCAACAACAATTTCGCCCCGCGGAAGTAGCCTAACTCACCTGCACAGAGCATAAGGACGATCCAACTGAAGCCTAAGGTGGCGGGCAGGATAGCGACATAGTGAGGTATGAAAAGGGGAAAAGGGTGAAGCCTGTAGACTTGGGTGTGGATGAACACTCCCTTTTCACAGATCTGGTCTCGGTTCTCCGTATTTTTGTTGTTCAGCTCCAATGCTGAGGCGAATGAACGCTGGCGTGGTAGTTGGTGCTGACTGTCAGGCCGACACATTGGGTAGAGCTGGGACAGCACTTGAATAGTCCTTGTCTGAGTGGTGGCAACTAAAGGTCTTCGCTTTTGTCCTAATCAGTCAACTGGAGATGTGTTACCTCTTCGTACGTACAAGTTTCGACGTTGACAAGACTACGGCTGAGCGTTTGGGTTTTCTAGTCATTCATCAAAACACGCCAAAGAATTCAACTGACCTACTTCCGTGAACGCATAGCTTCGGAAATTGAAATTGTCTGAACTTCAATAGAATTGGTTGGAAACGTTGCATTAGAAGTTGGAATTATCTACTCGATGCAACACATTATCTGCAACCTTGGCTGCACTTAGTTACTAAGCCAGGTTTCGATTACAAAAAAACTTATTACTTATTACCCATTTTGCCGATGCCACCCACAAAATTGTGTTTCATGGACCGTTGGTTAATTAATTCACTTTGAAATCTATGCATCTTTTCAGGGTGGTAGTATGCGCAACAACACTTAAAATGCACGGATTCGCATAAACAAGTGTCCCAGTAGACATAAACTTTGTTAGCTTTCGAGACCGAGACGTGGTCATTGACTGAAGGGGGAAGGATTTTCTGTGATATGGTGTTAGCACAGCGAAGCTCTCGATGGAGGAGAAAATCGTTTTCGAACTTTCACACAAATACAAAGAAGAAGGAGCACGGGCACTGCCGCACTACGAATTCATATGAGACGTGATTGTCCTCGTCAAAACGTCTACCCAGAATGCATCCCAGTCAGGTCGCCTGATTGACACATACCTTAAAAAGGTAGTAAAAAAGGTTAAACAAATCTCGTTCAAATGAGTCCAATCTTGCCCGTTTTTTATTTTACGTTGAGTTCGTTTATGGTAGCCGTGAAACCGCACAAAAGTCTGATCGCAGTGCATAAGAGGTTCTTCTCTGCTGTGAGGAACTGTGATAGAAACCTGTCAGACATAAAAATGCGCCAATTGGGCATTTGTTTACGTAGAACTGCAAAAGGTAAATATTTGAGCGCGGTTGATGGCTGGGCGGATGCCAGTGCAACATTGAGAATCACACATCCAAAGCATCGCCCAGCATTTAAGGTCAACGACTACGCAGCGCTGGGGGCGGAGCCACAAGTATCATTCGAAGAAGGTGGAAGTGAATGGAGAGAAAGGACTGCAATAGGTGTAATCAGCTGGCTCGGGACAGTGAATAAACATTTTTGATTCCATATGGTTGTCACTTGCAGATGTGTAGATTCATGCATGATAGTGGAGAAAACTGAAGAAAGGTCAAACGAATGCACCTAACATCAGTAACAATTCCACAAGTCATCAATTTGCTTAGTAAAACGGATGTGATTGATTTGTCCTCAGCGAGTGGGCTGAAAAAGTGGAATTCATTACAGTTGCCTTCATGTTGAGCAGGTAAACACTAAGAGAACGAAGATAAGGAGATCCACCTTCATCCCGAATGGATTTGGGCGGCCAGAACGCATTGCAAACCCATAAACGCATCTACGGCCATCCTACCACCAACCACGTGCATTTTGTGGTGCAAATCACCCAATTCACTTTATCCCCTCATAAAGACCAAATGTTTTGCTTACAAGCTCACCAATTTGTGATGGTATTTGGATGCGCTGATATGTGAAGGGAGTCGCCTACTTAATGGAAATCGCTGAGTTCCACCCATGAAACTCATTGGCTATGCCGTTGTGTAAGGTGCTCAACTTCCAAGGCGGGACAACAAAAGGAAAGACCTTGGCCTTCGTCGTTGCAATTGAAGTGTTTAGAAGATTAGGAGGGTAGTTGTGGAGAAATTGGTCTGTTATTCGTCAAAGGAAAGGAAGTGTGTAGAGAAGGTGTAAAGCAGTATTCTACACACAAATCTAAATGATTTTCTAGATGCTATTGCAGTGTGAGGTATACGGAGGTGAGTTCAAGGGCCGTGTATAAAAGTGAAGTCTCTGATGCAGCATTAGGGTCCAGGTGGCATGGCCTGTCCCAGCTTGTTTTCATCACCTCCAATCGACCAACTGCCCCTTCCATATAAGGGCAGCTTAAACAAATCGGTGGAATTGGTGCAGTCTTGTATTGACATTTTGCTTAAGATAAAGTCGGGGTACGAACTTTACGATGGGAGGAGCTAACACCAAACTGTTGACAGAGGCACGGCATATAATATTGACATTTTAATAAGCGAGAAAAATTGGGTGCGATTTGGAGATGAAGAGTGCTCACTAGGGAAGATTTTTGGGCAACAAAACAGTACTATTAATAATTCTTGACATTTTAGTTAAACTTAGGAAAAATCTTGGGATAAATTATTACGTTTGTTTATATGTTTAGGAGGAATTTAAACGACGACCTGATCGTGTTTGCAAGCGTGAATAGCTTGGGTTGTGGTGACCTTTGTCTGATTAGATGGCCTCGGTTCCAAGTATTACACTAAATAGCGGTTACAAGATCCCCCAACTTGCCTTTGGGACGTTTGATGTAATGAAGTTCAGATCTTAAAGTTGATTGCTGGTTGTAGTCACCCAAAGAGGTTGTGACGCGAAGTGTTGAGGTGGCCATGGATGCTGGGTTTCGCCACATTGACTGTGCTATGTTCTACGGAAATGAAGCAGAAGTTGGTGCAGCAATAGCAGCATCCATGAAGAAGCACAGCCTTAAGAGAGGAGACATCTTTGTTACCTCAAAGGTACCGATTCAAAATGTGTGGGTTTGGCAAACTTTGAATGTAGCTTTGGTGTGACAAACATGCTCCTGCGGATGTTCGAAAGACGTGTGAACGCTCAATCAAAGATCTAGGTGTGGAGTATTTGGATCTTTACTTGATCCATTGGCCTGTTTCTTTCCAGCACAAGGAGGGTTATAATTTTGATATCCATGATCCAAACTGCATTGTGTATGAATATCACAAAATTGAGGATACATGGAAGGTAAATTCGTATTGCAAATTCGAATGCAGTTTTAGGCTATGGAGGAGTTGGTTTCGGTTGGACTTGTCAAATCGATTGGTGTCTCAAACTTTAGTATAGGTCAACTGGATCGCATTCTGGGAGTATGCTCAATTCCGCCAGCCGTGAATCAGGTTGAAGTAAATATAAACTGGCTTAACACGAAACTGATTGAATTTTGCCATTCTAAGAATATTCACGTTGAGGACTACGCACCTTTTGGTTCTCCTGGATTTATGAAGTAAGTTCGTGTTTATCGATGCAGTCACTCTGGCCTCAAATTGGAAGTTTGTTCGAGCTGTCAACTATATCTTACAGAAGTAAAGAAAAATCTATTTTGGAGTATGAGGACGTTGTTGAAATTGCACGAAAACACAATAAGACACCTGGACAGGTGCTTTTGCGCCACGGGCTTCAAAGGGGTCTCATTGTTCTCACCAAAAGTGTCCATCCGGAGCGTATCAAATCGAATTTTGATGTAAGGCTGAAGTGGATAATTTTTTTTGTCAAACTATTTGGTCGATCTATCCCCATCACTTGCATTTTTAATGATTTTTGTCTGCTTTTCACGAAGGTGTTTGATTTCGTGCTAACTGATGCGGAAATGGACAAACTTAACAAAGCTGGGTTGAATAAGCGCCTTTTCGCAATCCCAGCGTAAGTTTTGCCTATTTGTACCTGTAGTTCCTAATGAATGCCTTATATCCACCAAAACACGGTTCAAAACTATTTCACAAATGTAGTCACATTTGGTTTGACATCATTTTAACTTGTGGATGGTAGCGTGATGTTTTGTCTATTTTGTCCATTTCAGTTTTGAAAAGCATCCGGAATACCCATTCCACGATGAGCACTGATTGTATTGCTATCATCTCTCATACTGCAGTCACTGATGGTGTCAATGCTTGCTAGCTCCTCTTCTTACCTTTCATTGTCTTGATAACCTTCAAATAGTCAATAGAATGACAGAATGTGTTCTCTTTCCTGCTTCTGGAAATGTCAGTGTGGTGCAGTGATATGGGTTAATCTAGTCTTGTGTTAGGGCAATTTAGTTGATTGCGCGTAGATCTCAAATGAGGCACTTTTGTGGAAGCAAAGATTTGGTATTAGGTAGAACTGATGAGTGTTTTGGCTTCATTTTCGATTCCTCTGCCCATATTTGAGTAAACAATCCCTTAAGTCCCTATTGGAAAGCACTTTATGAATAAATTTGACTGTTAAGAGTTACGATTAGTCGACTTGTTTACTGCGTCTACTCCACTATCCAAGCTTAGGGATACGACACAACGCTTCAACTTGTGCACCAGTTTGTTAGTTAAGCGGGACGCAACCACATTTGCAAATACCAGATGGGGATAATGTTGCGTCTGGTTAGTTGGTGCAACTGGAGAGTGCGGGTGGGCGCGTCGTTCATGCGCAAAATTTTGTTTTACAAAAAAACATATGCTAGAGGCGGCTTTGTTTTAGGAACAGTGATTGTGAGCTCTAAGCAAACCAAATGTGAGGACCTTGTTTCAGACCAAATCAAAAACACGATCTGCCTATGCATTTGAAAAGATAAACTTTTAAGGCGGCCATTTGGTGTTACACTAACCGGATGGTGCAAATTAGACTAGTCAACAGAAAGGTTTAAGTAACTACAATGCGCTCAAAAACCAAGACAGCGAAGGTGGAAGAAGTTGCCTGTCTCATGGAGGAATTTGGACGACCAACGTGTGGACAAGAGCCTATAACCACCCATTAATGGCCACCCATTTACCCTCCCCTCATACCTATTGTCAGGCAATTCCTACCACTCATTTCACCCCGGCACCGCGCCAAAATTTTGCTTCCCAATTGGATGCTCGCCATTATTTTTACTTCCAATTAAATTTTGTGGGCTGCATCAACAAAGTTTCTCGTTCCGTATTCGTAACAACTCACTGCCTTTGAAAAATCTAAAGGACAAAGGAGCATCGAGGCAATACAGGACCACCGCAAAAGTAAATGCAACAAACAAGCAATAATCCGTTAGAGGCCCATTTGGTCTTCATTTCCCACTATCGGTAGGTGACTATTTTAAGAAAAAAGGCGATGCGAACGTACACGCAGCACTGCCAGACAAAGTAAATGCCGTCAGTCCTACTTGTCGGATCGTTATTTCGCGTATTGGTGTGGCGCAACAAATGAACGACCTCCTTGCCATTGGTCACGCATGCACTGGCACACTGCACCCTTTCCAGTGTCATGATGAACGCAATCAAGGCCTCGAGAGCAACAACTTCTGGCAATGTCAGATGCACCTTCGTGTCCTTTCCACGCTTCATTGTGGACAGTGCATGAGTTAAATTCCTTCCTGTGCCTTTTAAGTAGTCTGGGAAGAGATGCTGGCGGTTTAATGTGTTCCTCCACCTATCTAAGCATTGTTGCAGAGGTTGGAGAGTCCGATGTGAACTTTCGAACTCGTGTAAATTCCGCTGCATCACTAATGGACTGACACGACCCACATTCGCAGCCGAGATTAACGATGCAACGTGGGCCAAATCATGCTTTATGCACAAGCATCGTCTCACAACCTCCGTTTTTCGGTTTCAGACTTGCGACGCACCCTGAATACCCATTCCACGACGAGTACTAAATGATCCCTCCCACCACTACTTTTACTGCTACTACTACCACCACCACCACCAGCACTGCTACCAGTACCGTTGGTACTCTTGATTGCGCCGTTGTGTTAGTGATCAACGAATCGCCGAAATAAAATGTTTGAGCTTGCTGCGTTGACTGTGAGCACTGGAAGGGGAGATTGGGGTGCATTTGAGGCAGGCATTGGGTTAGTTGATGCACCATGCACAGTACGCAAAGCGAGCTCTGCTTTGCAGGAATTGCAGTTCGGTAACCGAGGGCGGGTTCCAATGTGCAAGTAGTATGGAGATGTTTTGGTGTTGTTGCTATTGGTTGTGTAAGGGGCTATTCTTCTTCATCATCATCATCTCAACACATCTGTTGATGCCTCATTCCAACTTTGTTCCTTCACCCTTTCCTTCACTCTCTCCCTTCCTCTATCTCTACTTCCCTCCCTCCCTCCCTCCGATTTGACTGGATGCGACTTCCAGTCCTCTCACACATTGGTACACAGCCATCACTGTTGCATGTTGAATTGTGCCTTTTTATTCGCTTTTCTTTTTTTTCACTGTGCCTCTCAGACGCACGTCGAACACGTCCAAACACCTGCTGTCAACAGCTTTGTATAAACATATATCGTGAATGGCATAATTTTGATCAACATACAGGTTGCACCACATACATCAACCGGAGGGTAAAAATTATTGCCGCACGAATTTGTGGGTGCATTTAATTGGTCATTTAAACTTATTCTCATGCGAAATTATGCAGATGTTTAGTCCGTAACGAGGTAAAAGTAGTTCATGCTTCAATCTTTTTCTTTCTTTCTTCCTTCCTTCAATTCCTTCCCCTTTCTACCACCTCTTCCCCTCGCTTTTCATTGCAGCACATGGAGAAACCAGGATTCTGAGTGAGATTATCCAATTCTTGACTGACTCCCAACCCTTTCCTTGGAAAATTTCATGAGAATGTGAAAGGTACCGCATGCCCAACTCGACCCAGTCTACTTCAAGAGGGCGGAGATTTCGACCTTGCAATACCACCCTCATGCGCATTTCAGCACCTAGGGAGACACAAGGGAGGCGCAAAGATGACCGAAAGACAGAGGGGTCAAACAAACAGTGGTAGTGTGGTGATCAGAGAGGTTTGGAAGCCCAAATGCTTCACCCGCTACTCAAACGTGCTCAGTTCAAAACGGCGAATGTGTGGTTGCACACCAACCTACAAAGAAGTGATTTGAGTGACTAATTTGTTTGTGCATATGATTGCTCTTCATTTATGCACACACCCGTCTCCTCAGCATTCCGACACAGCATTTGTTGACGTTGCACAGCTCAAGTACTTAGGAGTGAGACCAGTCGTCTACTGAGTATAAGTGAGTAGTGCAAACAGTCTGCAAGCCACTGTCTGCTAAGACAATCAGTCAAGTTAGGAAAAGTTAACTTGATACATGAACACGCGCAAAGTATGCCACACAGTCACAAAGCATTGACATTGACAGGTTGCTCCCTTTAGTTAGCTGCAGATGGCCGGAAAGAGAAGGTAATGTTGGGCTGAAGCGCTAAGGTGGGGAAGGGAATGAAGGAAAAAGGGAGAGTAAGTTTACTTTTCTTTCACATGATAACATTTTCTTTATTTCAAACGTTAACCCAAAACTTGTGGATTGGAATACACACCGGCTGCGCGTTAGGTCTGCACAACCCTTCGATCCCCCTGTTCTCAACTTCACGTCAACTGCCAAATTCCTCTCCTTGCATTACAGTAAACTTGCGTGATGAAAAACTCTTGGAAATGTATTTGGCCAGCCATGGAAATTCATTTTCTCTCTCGCCTGATAATATAATGACCACCCACTCTTTGAAAAAACCCCTATCTAGGAAGCGTAAAAGAACAGGAAAGTTTTGCTCTCTGGTAAAATCTGCAACGATTTTGGGTCTTTTGAGAGGTTGTAGGGTCAGCACAACTCCGTCATACACCATTAAAACTACTCTTTGTCGATACTTTGCCGAAAAGGTTTAGTCACAGTGTTCATTACCACCTCATTCGCATCGAGTCGGCTCCTTGCGCTCATTCCACTGGGCCAGTCGGTGCGAACCACCGATTAAGCTCTAAAGCAATAAAAAATTATTTAAACACAGCGTCTCGTCGATCCTTCACCAATCTCAATATACTAGTGTCATGTGCCTTATAGTCTGCCTGCCTCGAGGCCATCATGCCATGCGGTTATGTCCTCCATCGTTCAGACCTTCACTCCATCAACCACTTCGCATAGAATGTTGGAATGTGCACATCTTCCTTTCTCTGCATCTCTCCAATTAAGGCTCACTCACAATCTAATGTCGAGTCAAGCGTAACTAAATCAATTCACCCACTAACTGGGTAAACAAAGACAGTTGCTGTACTGTTGACAAACAGCCTCCTTCAGCTGTCACACAACATTCCAAAACTCCCATTTTTTCTCATAAAAATACCAGGCATCGCATTAATTTTCCCGCTCCTTCTGACTTTGTAAAAAATTTTACGCCCATTAAACGAGCACCTTCCACAATTCATGAAAAAACAAAATTGCCGCCCAATGCAACCTTCCGGTACTACAAAAGATCGCGAACTTAAAAACCTCGTGAGAGATACTGCTTAGTGGAATGAGCTATATATGCCGCACCAACACTGTCTCACCTCACTGCAAACAACAACACAGTACAGTGCATTTTGACACAGGCGATGAGCTGATATCGTCTTGCCTTCCACTATTGTGGCTCCA